ACTAGTTTATTTAAGTGTATAAAAATGTCTATAAATGTGAATAAGTTAAACCTCTTCCACTCCACTAGGACGCTGACGTCCTTGATGACATTACTGTCTTTAGGAGGTTGTAGCAGCCTAGAGTGAAACTAGAAGATCTGGGGAATCCACTGGTACCAACAGTGTCATACTATCTTGTCGGGAAGGGGGATAAACCTCAAGACAAACCTCACCTCAAGATATCTACATGAAAATGATTTTACAGGTGCCCAAAAGTCTCCCCTTTACAGACATGTCCTCTTTATGCTAGTTCCACGCAGTCTTTTCAGTTTTTCTCATGCAATACATATGTGTTATTTTAGCCTATTGTATTTGAATATTTCTGCATACTGGGCATAAACTGGGTTTGACTGGAAAGCTGAGACTCTTGTGGTTTCACTTTGCCCAACTGTATTAAGGTGTGATGATGTTAGTCCCCATAGTAGCCATTTCACTGTAGTGAGACCTTTTTTTAAACAGACATCACTGTAAAAAATGAGCTATAGTGTCCTCTGAGAAAATCACAGCCTCATGAAAATTTACAACCACAAACTAGAGACTGGAACATTTAAAGGATGGATGGCTCAGCAGTTTCCAGAAGAGAAGTGCTCGCCATCCAATCGCTGAAAAAGCAATTTTTACAGAAATCACCAAATATCATAAGTGATAGATACCAAATCACTGCATAGATTTTTCTGTGGCTTTCTTCAAGGTCTTGGTGTCTTAATGTGGTGGAGGTATTTTTGACCATTTTATTAATTCTCAAGAGGTAAAAAAAATGCACCAAAATCAGCACAAAATCTGTGTATCTAATGCTATCAACCCAAAAAGTGCTGCAGCAACTTACAGACATAAATGAGCACTGGAATGACCATCATATACTTCCATCATATTGTTCTAACACCCTATACACTTTAAACTTTCAAAGTATGAATAGCACCTGATCAAAGCATTTATTACACATTTATGACTAGAGAAACCTGACACACAGTCCTGAGCTGCATCTAGAAAATTCCTAGCTTTCAGATGATGCATACCATTTCTATGTGGCATATACTGTTGACCTGCTATCTCCGAGATTCCCTGTCACCCCTAAACAAGACAAATATGGGTCCATGGTAGAGAGGAGAGAGTGGAAGAGGTTAAGTTGTATTAACATGAAAATGTAGTTTGTAGTTTCAGAGCTGGCATATAGAAAACAAGCTTTCAAAAAGCTAGTATTGATTATATTATTAATTCTGATATGCATGAATGTGTAAGCACTTCTAATTGCAGCTGGTAAAGATTGGGGTAATGTCAAATACTTTATGTGCTGTTGAGCAGCGTAATCCATCATAATATATCGCAATCCATTAATTGGTTTATACTGCATTAATAATCTGAATTCCACCACTGAATGCAGGCAGAAGAATGTAACGTATACAGATGTTGTGAGTTTGCCACAGAGGGTTAACTCATAGCTCAATAAAATGCAGTCTACACGTAGATTTGCACATTTTTTCACAGCTAATTTATCAGTCCATCAATCTGAGACAAGGGAGGAATGGACTTCATTATAGCTCACAATGCATTACAGATGGGAACGGGGTTCTCTGTTATGCTGCTGTTACCCGGGAGTTAAACTGGCCAAAATGTACATGTGTGTCTCACAGTTGAGTGCTTTATAGCAACTTTCCCACACAATTTCCCACAGGTTTGTTGTGCTGGATTCCTTTACCTACGAAGATAACATCCATCATTTAACCTTCAGTGAGTTCATGAGTTTCTCGACTCATTAACTTGAAGTATGCAGAATGGATAAACTGTCAAACAAGCATCCTTTTCCTTAGCGTTTCCTTGTTACGTTATCTCAGAATGATGTTAACGTAGGAGAGGCAATAACACAGCAGCAATATAATTTAGCAATTTATATACACAGCTTTCTTTTTCCTGTAATAACACCAATGCAAACAATGAGTTAATAAAGGCTGACATATCAAGCGAGTCCTCTTGATAGTGGTCTACACTACTAGTTTGAACAACTGAGAGAAATCATTAAAAATGTTCTCTAAAAGTGTGGACCCATGCTGTGGAAATATCTATCTGTAACAGCACCAGATCTATTAAGTTCACAGTTGTACATCATACATACTGTATATAATATTGCTCTCAAAAACAAAACAGATGCTAATATGTCTCCTCTCTCTGAGTCTGGCAGCTACAGTCACTGTTTTTGGCTCTGTGTGAAGCTACAAAGCCATTGGTCTAGTATTTTTGATGAGCTGTGTGTTATATTTGGTGTTCAAATAGATTTAGACCCTATGTGCCTCCTACTCGGTCTCCCGGATGGTCATATTTCAAATATCAAACACAAGAGACTCTTCAATCTCTTGACTTCTGCTGCCAGGAAAAATATTTTGCTTTTTGGATGAAGGATGCTGCTCCAACAAAAAGTCGTGGCACAATCTTTTAATGCAGTGTGTTCCCAGTGAATATATCTCTTGTATGCTTCACTCTTCAGTAGATGCATTTATAAAGTTTGGGATCCTCACTTTAAGTACACTGGATCTACACTGACATCTTCCATATCACAAGGGTTTCCTAAATCGGCTTAGCTAGTCTCTGTACATTTCCTGTAAATCAGTCTTCCCGTAACCTTGCTATTTGTCTGTAAAGCCTATTTGTTTGTTTGATGCTGCCTTTATGTAGCTGCAGGAGGTGATGAAGGTTGTGGATGGATGTAATGCCCACTATTTCTTAATTCTTATTTTTTTAGCTGCTCATTTTGTTTGACATGTCATGTCAGCTGCTTTGTTCTGTGCTGTAAGTAAAAAATGTAATAAACTAGTCCGTATATCATCATGCTCCATACATCACATGTACATAAATGTGCAAGGAGAGTGAGCAGTCCACTTCACTCACCAACAACACATCCACTTTTCCACAGACACGTGGTGTGAACAAGTGGCCATAAACACTTGTGCACACTGGAGCTGAATGTAAACATGTCTGCCGTGCATTCTACACCACTCTGTCTTGTTTCTCACCTCCTCTTCCTCCTTTTATCTCCCACCTGCCATAAATGGTGTCTTTCATGTGCATCTGTGAGGCGTTAAAGCGCCATTAGAAGTCTCCCAATTCAGGGAGCTTCTGTTATTGTTGGCACATGCTAATTACGCATGACACCAACAGTTTGCCTCAAATGAGGTCCAGTACAATACAGCACAACATGACGAATAAAAACAATACCTGAGAAGTTTGACACGCTGTTAAAACTACAGACCCAACAGAGGCCATGTGTGCCACAAGAAATTGTTGTGCAGCTAAGGTTTACAAATGTGGGACTATCCTTGGGTTGCCAAATTCAGCAGGCCGAGGTGGGGCAGATGTAGAGCAGGTCAAACCAGACTGTCTGTGACTATCTGTCAATTTTGTGAAAGCAGCCAGATATTAACAGGAGATCCGCCAACGGGTGAAATTTACCCGCAGCTGTTTTTTAACTGTATGGAACTTTGTTTCAATAAAACATCCAAGTCTCCCAGTCTGTGACTTCTCCTAAAAGTCTGTTATAAGCACCTCCTATTGTTAAAATTTTTCTAGATAAAGCCAGATTTTTAAAGATGGACATGTAAACCTCACAGCACCATGGTGTAAAATTTACCTTTACAGAGAATGCAGTTATTTTTGTGCTATTTATTGCTCATGTTTGGATAAACAATCTATGTTGCTATGGCAATGCCTTTTGTCTGCTGCTGTGTGTAATAGAGTGGCGTCATACGTCCTAGGCTGTCCTGCACTATGGGCAAGAGAAAGAGATTGATGGTTGTATTTCAGACATCAGTCTTTTTCAATGCAACCTTATTATCATTTTATCTTACTACCACATTGACATTTTGTGACTACAACTATGGCATCCCATTTTACAAAGCTGTGTTGTAGAATAATAAATAGATGAACCAAGGTTTGTTTATTTAACATTTTACGATGTCATGTACCTTGAGATTCGATGCATTCTAACAGCGGGTAAATTCCCTCGCGGTTTTAGGAATACAGCAACCCTTGGCAGTTCTACTGTTAACAAAACGTCCACAATGACCTTGACCATAATCCTACATTTAAGAACAGCACCACTGGCCCTACACAATAAGCCTCGGGTCTTCAGGGGTCCGCCACGTCTAGGGAGTCCTAAGTGTTACTGCAAGGGGGCTGCTAAATTGTTTGGTAATTTAAGCTTTAATCTAAGCTTCTTTTTTTAATTATAAATATTAAAATATGTCTGAAAATACACATTAACATATATCCAACATATTAAGATAGATAAATTGGCATATTCCTAAAAAAAACATTTGATTTACAATACACAACATTAATGATAGACTGTTACCCACAAATCCTTGTGCAATCATGTTAGCTAGCTAACTCTGAATCACTGTGTACAGCACCTGTCCATGACAGCAGGCAAACTAGTTAGCTAACATTACTCACCTTTGAAACATATTGGCCAATGTGCTGTGTTATTATTTCAAGTGTATGGACATTCTTGTGAGCCACAATAGTGTTTTGTAACTTTTCAAGCAAAAGACTCTGACACACCGTCCACCTCAGACACAAACACGATGCATTATTGTATGAATCTACCATAATTATGATTTTAACAGCTTAGTATTGTATGCACAATAAAAGGGTTATGCTTATACATGGCGCTTTAGGCAGCCCTACATGTTATTGTACGCCCAGGTTAATATGCAACTCAATTTTACACAATATATGTAGTTATGTTCCCGCTTTGTCTCTCTTTAAGCTAAGGGGTGCTTGGCCTGAAAAACACTAAAGACCCCTGCTATAAGCTTTTTATTTTATCCCATTAAGTGCTATATTATGTAGATCTCAACAACTGAAGGCCAAAGGAGGCCAATTAGATCAGCAAATTAAAGATGATGACAAAAGGCATTTCAAAACATGATATGGCGAGTGCCAGATGTTGTACAGACATGTGTACTCACCTCCATCGGAGACTGCAGCGGACTGTAAAGAAAGACAGAAAGACATGGATTAGGAGATTCGCTCATCACACAGATGAGACATCTTCACACAAGCTCACACAGGACACCAGCGCCAGGAGGCAGCTGCCTGGACATGTACTTTAAGCCACATGCAGACGCAGACGCAGACAAACTGGGTGTCTCACAGGACCTGGTTCATTATCACACACACTTTCACATCATGACACAGTCAGGTTAGCGCCCACACTCTTTGTCTTGTGTGTGGGAGGAATCATCTGTGAACTGGCTGTGCTTGCTCTGCAAGAAAGCCTCCTGAGAGGGGTGGGGCTTACTGTTAGTGTGTGTGTGTGTGTGTGTGTGTGTGTGTGTGAAGAGGTGAAGAGGGGAACTGTAGGCCTACCTGCCCCCAATTTCACAGTCAAGTGTGATGTTTGCTTACATATCCCACGGTCACCAAATATAGCTGGAGTTTAACAAGCATCGACATATGTATCTCTATCTGTATCTAATCTTATTTTCAGACACAGATGTCTACACAGACTAATTCAAACCAAACTTGCTTGAAGATCATATCCTATTACCCAGGCATAGACACAAAACACCACACAGAAAAACACACACACAGCACACAATAGTGATTTTTATCCCAGACGTGCTGAGCTGGGATGAGATCATTCAACGCAGACATCAGTAATGTAGCTAACTCTGGAACGCTATGTGACTCAGAAGGAGCAAAGGGAAAAGAGAGAAAGGGGGGAAAGAGGGAAAAATAGAAACAGGAGGAAGGGTGAGCAGCAATTAAAGACAGAAGTGTTTATCAAACACAGAATGCCAACTCACATCAGCTCTCTGAATAAATAATCCACACTAAGCCACACTGTCGATCTGTCAGAAGCTTTTAATGCCGTTAATCTGCCCACTAATGGTGCTAATGACCGGCTTTATGTTTACTCATATGATGGAAGGCAGGCTGTGCAGGAGATACAAGGGCATATTTGCTGCTTCTGAGGGTATTTTCTATGGAACATTTGCATTTGGAAATTTGAATGATCTCATCGTTACTCAGCAGTACAGACACATGGGAGTCTCTTGGATGACTTGAGGTTTCTGTGGGGTTATCGTCTGGTCATCACTTAGAAATGTTTCCACTTCATTGCAAGTTTCTCCACAGAAAATTACATTTTATGAATTTATATTTAAACTGAAAACTGAGCAGCATCTGCACAGATGCGCATAATATTGAGTCCACACCCTGTTTTTACCCACAGAATGAAAGCAGAGTAAGGCCACATCCACACGAATAGTTTTTCACTTTAAAATTGCGTTTTAACACGAAAACGATCTGAGTACACACACGTGTTTAAGCACGGTTTCAGATATGAACATGCCTGAAAATGCACATCACATGACCATTCATACACACTGGACACACGTATAAACAGGGAGCAGATTTTCTACTCTACGGTTGGTTGCTTAGTTACAGAAAATACTACAGAAATGGCAAAAAGTATTAGTAGAGATTTCTTTGCTTGGACTGACGACGAGGTGGAACTGTTAGTAAAAGTAACACGTGAATATAAGGTGGTCAGTGCAGCAGAAAACAGATTGGGATTCGTTACAAAGCCAATATAGGCGACATATTAGAGTGGTACCAGAAGCCTAATCCATCACCAGAGGAAGCATGTCAATGGAAAAGAAGTATCCACACAAGACAGATGAAATCACAAAAGGTAGACAGCCTTAATGTTTTGGCTTGACACATCGTGACTGATAAAATCCAGTCGGGAAGCAAACATGAGTGTCTGCATTACTGTTTTCAAAAGTCTACATTTCCTCCCATCCATACTTAAACACAACCCTGGAATTGTTAAACTAAAATCAGCTCAGCATGTTTTTAAAATATCTCTGTTTTAGTGGTTCCAAAATGTCGGAGTAGTGCGAACACTAGGTATAAACATAGCAATTGTTATGTGTTTTAAATAAAAAATATATAGGTGTGGATGTAGCCTAATGACGAAGGGTCACAGAGACAACCTTGAGTAAATCCCTCAAACCAGTGGCAGTTACTTCACTCAGAGGATTAATTCAAACTAAGTAACCTGGTTAACGTCAGTCTTCTACAGTAAGCTGATTAATTAAACATAATTGACAGAAGTTTACACCCAGTGTTTCATTGGAGCTGGAAAACCTTAATTCCTCAGCCATGTGTTCATACTGTACTTAAATGCATTTGAACATATGCATGAAAAGTTGAGACAGGGAAGTGTTGAAAGAAAAGATCATTACTTGTGTTCAAAACAATGAAATGATTGAAAAAAATAGAAGCCTCTGGTAAACTAAATAAGTCAGTTTCTCAGCTGAACAGTAGGCCGTAAGATTCAGACACATTCACACTGACAGAAAACTGTGTTCTCTGGTCTGGAACAGCATCTTGTAGCAATAACACACCGAGCATTATCCATCCTTGGTTTATAAATATGCAGGTTTTACAGTAACCAGGTTACCACAGTGTATGTAAATATGCTCTCAGATTTCCCATCATCACATGAGTCGTGCCTATTCAAGCTGGGGTGAAGGTGCTTCACCAGATTTTTTAAAAACTGGATTTTTTAAATTTACTTTAAATTATTCTATTTATATATTTTCTAAATAATATTTGGTTCTGATCTTTTATCATTATGATTCAAATGTATTCTTCTAATTATGTCATGGACCGTACTTTACAAGTCAACCCCCCTTTCCCCATGGTATTGGTTTCTTCCAAAAGTTGCAGGATGAAATTGGTTTGCAACAGCAGGTATACACACACTCGTATCACTCTGTTGTGCATCGCTGCTGGAGGAAAATAGGCCACAGCTTAAATGTGCGTAGGTCATTAGATTATCAGTCCCTTTTTCAAACATGTAAAAATGAAATGCAATTAGTTTTACACACATAATAACATTTGGGAAACGTAGGCATAGCTGTTATTTGTGATAGCATAGCATCCTATTAAATATTGGTAAGGGAGAGATGTGTTAAACCTTTCATAGGGTATAGTTTGCAAAACACTGAATTCCATTTTATATATGCGACTCAAGATGCATGGTAAAAATCTCATCATTCTTTAAAAAAAAATGACAGCCCCAGCACTGTCTTCAGTTAGGGTTAATAGTGCAAGAGGTACGCTATTATGTTGTAACTTGTAACAAACTTGGAGAGAGTATGGTATTCCTTTTAAAGTCTTGCAGACAGGAGGTAAGGCAGGCATGAAAATCCTACACTGCAATTATTGCTTACCCCTCTTTTACTTTCTCTAGTGATACAAGAGTGCGTAGGTGTGGTTACAGGTTATATGAATTTCGGCTCGTGGTGATGATGGCTCTTTCAAGGAGGCTGAGGGGTTTGAGAAAATAGGTTACGACTGCTCAGTCTGAGATTGAATTTGCAATGGGGCTGACACTGCTATGAGATGTCAGAAAGGTCTCAACTGAACTTGTGCTGCTTCCTGTGCAGTGTGTTTGAAAATACAGCAACTACCATGTCTGCAGGTTCATTTCAACTGTGGCTTTGTCTATGTTCTGTAAATGAACTTGCATTGTGGATATAGTCTTTTTACATGACTTCATGAAGGAGTTGACGATTTAGAGTCTGTGGCAGGATTGTCTGTATAAGGTTCACAACAAGTGGGTGGCTGAGCCAGCGGCTTGTAGCTAGTGGCACTAACTCCATGAACAGTGCTAACAATGGCAACAGTGCTGACAAAGCGACAGGTGTTCAGCAGGGGGAAACCAAAGGCTGGGCGTTGCACTTCCACGATTGCACCATACCGATATCAGTGGTGACCAATGTATGAGTGCTGTGCAGAGCAACCGCAATCAGCTAACAAGGGGCTGATCATTGTTACTCACAGAGAGTAACAATGAGAGTAACAATGAAAAGAGAAGTTTGGACTATGACACACATAGAGGCAGCGTGACTTCATTCTCTGCTCATGACACCATGACTCTGCTATACCTCTACATAGGAAACAGCATTTGGGCTGCCCAGTAGCTCAGTGGGTAGGGCAGGGTTCCCATCCACAGTGGCAATATCCTTGCTGCAGCAGCCGCGGGTTAGATTCTTGCCTGTGGCCCTTTGCTGCATGTCATCCCCCGTCTCTCCTTTCACATTTCTGTCCTATCATTAAAAGAAAAAAGCCCAAAAAAATGATCTTTAAAAAAGTTAACAGCTGCTTGTGGTTATAGCAAGAGGGTTCTGGGTTCAAATCCACCAGCCAGCCAGGGCCCTTCTGTGTTGAGTTTGCATGTTCTCCCTGTGTCAATGTGGATTTTCCCCAGGTTCTCCAGCTTCCTCCAACAGTCCAAACACATGCAGGTTAGATTAAGCGGTGACTCTGAATTGCCCATAGGTGTAAAAGTAAGTGTGAATGGCTGTCTGCCTCTATGTGTCAGCCTTGTGTTAGTCTGGCCACCTGTCCAGCGTGTACCCTGCCTCTCACCCAATGACAGATGAATGAATGAATGTTATATTAATTGTCTGAATTTGAAGCAGACAAGATTGAGCTACTTTTCAAGAAAAGCAGCAGCAGTGTAGAAGCTTTTGTAAAAGTGAGTAAATAACCACAATAGCACAAATAACTGATCAAAAATCTCAAAATAAATGAACAATGTTTACCCTAATATACAGTGGAAGATTAGAACTTAAAACTGATTTAGTGTCGTTTTAAATAATCCCCCCTAAAGCCTTTGAATATATATATCAAATTGCAGAGAATTTTCTGGGTAAGGACGCTCATGCCCCCTGCTTTAATTTTTTTTGACTTGCATTACACCCCTGCCCTTCATAGACAGATTTCTTCCTGGAGCTTGTTATTAAAATGCACAGACACATTTTTCATATTTTGCACATACAAAAGAACCATAATAAAACTGCACACACAAATCCTGCAATACCCTGACAAAGATTCAACGTACACTTACTAACAAATCTAACTGAGTTGACTCCCTGGTGCAGCATATGTGCTGGTTTGATTCATGTGCA